GTTAAATGGACAGCCTGTGCAGCACTTAAGGTCAGTGGTCCCTTGCAAAATTGGATCCAGGAATGGGAGACCGGAGGGGGGAATAAACACTGCACCTGCTGCATGTGTGAGACGATGCTTGGAGAGTTGTCGCGTCTTCGCCTCCTGACCTTTGTGATCTGATTATTGATGTGATGGTGACACAAAAGTATGGAATACTTACCAGATTTTTCTCATAATTTGGCTCAACAGTTAACGTCTTGGCCGCTCGGTGGTGGCGCAAATGACATGAATGAGGGTGATATGAATCAGAGTTAATAAGCTGAGAAGGAGGTTGGCAACAGGGGAAGAGAAAAAGGGACACAGTAGGATCATGGGAGCAGTAAAAGGAAATCGAGATGAGCTAGCGATTGTCGAAGACATAAAATGGTTTAGCAGCTTAAGCGATGACGAAAGGAATAATAATAATAATGCATCAGATTTCATATAGCGCTTTATCAGAGACCCTCAAAGCGCTTTACATTGGATACATCATTCATTCGCTCACACAGTCACGCTTTGGTGGTGGTAAACTACCTTAGTAGTCACAGCTGTCCTGGGGCAGACTGACAGAAACGTGGCTGCCATTTTGCGCCTACGGCCTCCGACCACCACCGCACAACACACACAATCATACACCAGTGGAGGACTCACACTGGGAGCAAGGCGGGTTAAGTGTCTTACCCAAGGACTCAACAGACAGACTTGGGATAGGGGAAACTGAACCGCCAACCTTCCAGTTATTGGACGACCGCTCTACCTCCTGAGCTACTGCCGCCCCACAGGATGCTCTCAAGTCTGCACTCGCCTACGATGGCTGGACTTCCCAAGCTAAAGACTCTTACATGACATTCAGAGTTGAGAGATTAATCAAGGTTTAGTTCCGATAACAATTTTGGTTACATGAGACCAAACAATATGATCATTGAAACTGAACCAATTACCATTATGAACCAACCATTATTTGTGGTTATAGAGTGTTTTTTCGTTGTGGTTTGTGCGTGGAGATTTAAACCGCTGTGTATTGCTATCATGCAATCTTTGCTGAAGTTGGTGTAACTAGAGAAGCAAGCAGTCGGCAACATTTGTCTCTTGAGGGGTTGTCTAACTCTGTGTTACGGTGTTTTTGAACATGGCTTAAATGAATGCTAGAGTATCCTTTCAAGTGTGATCAGACTCATCAGGTTCTGGGGATCTTGCAGCCAGCCCCAAATGGTCACCCGAGGAACGGCAGTTTTTAGCACTTTTGCGTTGTCTTTACTTATTTAAGACCAGAAGTTTCTACTTGCATTAACTACTGGATTATTTTGGTTTGCCACATACTTCTTCTGACTTTTAGTGGGCCTTTAGTTCATTATCTTTAGCCTTTGACCTCACTCACAGCTCTATCTTTGCAGTTTCTTCAGCCTCCCTTTCGAATCAGCGTTAGTCATCCACTTCTGGACTCTGTGGGGGGATTTATCTTTCTGCTGCTCAGGGCAGACGCTCTTCCAGTACAAAATCTCCCTGGAGAGTCTGGCCAGAGACTTTTGGACAAAACCTAATTACTACAGCACTGGCTATAATAAATTATTATCTTACTTCATTTACTCGTCTCTCCAGGATATGAAAAGGTGTTTTAGTTGACTTTACTTGACAAAAGAGAAGAGAGAAATCAAAGTAAATAGCAGAAAATACTCTTGAATTTTTTTCTCAGGGTAATCTGGATTTTTAAACACCTTTCCCAGACTTTCATGTTGGCAGCTGATCAAGTCATGAAGCCCTAAAAGAGTGAAATTGAACCATCCTCCACTAATGTTACATGTTCCTTTTGGACACTTATTCCCAAGATCTTAATAATTCATTAACACTAATGCAAATGGTTGATAGATGGTTTTATGACTGATTTATTATTATTGTAAGATTAGGTTGGAAACTGAGTAGATGTGTAATTTGGAAAGGAGCTTCTATTTTGAGTTCAGACTGAAGAGTTTGGCTGGAGAGGGAATTATAATTAGCATTAAACATGTTAGCAGCAAATGAGGAAGTCTACTCTGGTAGATTTTGCAGTCTCCAGACATTAGTGCACTTCATTAAGAGATCAATGATAGACCCTCATGAAGACAGAAATAAGGAAAGAAAGTGTTTTACTCATCACACTCCTGTTCACTTCTGATCTCAGTGCGTTGCTTTAAGCCTCAAACAAACCACTTCCACCTCAGGGTGACTAATATTTCACCTCTCTGCAGCCAAAGGCCACCAAGCGACAGGCGTAACAGGAATCAATAACTTCAACTTGACACACCAGGCTTTACATCAGGCTAGCTTACCGGGATGCAAACTAATTTTCTTTGAACCCTCATGTCAGTCATCCTGACCCCGAGGGCTTTTACAAAACATTTATGCCCCACACCGAAGCTACCGAGCCTCTGATATAAAAACAGAAGAAAAAAAAATCAGGTTCTGCCTCAGGACCAAGGCCTTTAATAGCATATTGATCAAAAATGAATTGAGTGCACAAATGAGAACAAGCAAAGCACAAATAATACAAACTACCCAGCCTTGGCTAAATGAAGGTCTGATCGATGCAGGATTAATTGCATTCCTCCCAGATTACATCGGAATAAAAGCAACTGATGTTGCATCTCATGCTTGCACAGCAAAAACACACAAAGAGCATAACACCACATCAAATCCGTTAGATTTAGTTGCGGGTCTTCTTTTCTCATCAGCTGTAATTCAACAACTTATTGAACGCTGCAGGAGCTGCAAGAATGTGATGAGTCAAACTTTGTGCAACAACACAGATGATAATTAAAGTTTTATGCAAGTAGCTTGAGACGCCATCAAATATCTGACACAGTCTTAGAGACATCTAGCATTTGTTCAGAAGCCAAATACTTGCAGTAACAAGAGAAAACATGAAAACAACTGTTTTTTCTCTATCATATACAGGACACACAGTATGACATATTACAATAACAAATCAAACATGGCCGACATCAAAATAAATTAATTGATTTAAAAATGTGGTTAAATTTAATGGTGGTTTTAGCTTGAATTCTGTGAGATTCACAAACCACAGTGAGCTGTTTCATTGTAAAGATTTCATCAAATGCTCACCGCAGATAATCTACCTCTTCATAGGCTTTTTACTCTTTAAGTGACTTGATTTATTGGGGGAACGATTTCACCCCTAGACTCAATTCATATTTTTTCGCTGCATGCCTCCGGTGGACATTTGAAGAACTTTTTTTCACACCTTCACAAAATCTCAGAGTTGTTCAAACTTGAATTTCAATTCCAACTAATTAAAGAGTTGGCACAACTTGTTCAACACAGGATCAAAATCTAAAGGTAATTTATGCCACATTGGTATGTAAAACATGTTTAACAAGACCCATTTTTTTTGGCTTATTGGTTTTACTCACAGGATAGGAAAGTGGATAGATCTGAAGATGGGAAGGTCAGTAGTCTAGCAGCCCCCTTGTTTACTATCACACTTATCTATCTGAAATGATCCACCATGGGGAGATATGCCGTCTGTCATCTGTGGTTGTTTACGTCTGGGTAGTAAAGCTTTATATCGTTATGATAGTGGCCATTAACTGCTGCTGAAGCCTGTCTGTGTTACAGCCATAGACTGTATATAGAATGGACACCGTCTGCCTCCTCGCTGGGTGAAGCCACTCCAAGAACAGCACCCTCTGGTGACAAGCTGCAGTATAGGTCATAAATCCCGCCTCTGCCAGTAAAGCTTATGGAGCTGTTGAGTAACTTTTAGAAATTTATTACACAGAACATAATTTTTTCTCCCCCCTGGTTGCGATGTTGACATGTAGTCATTGTAAGACGAGTTTGTGCTCAAGTCCTCTTTTTCTGTACAGCTCCGTTTTCAAAAGTTATTAGGGGGTTTATGTTTTCTATGATTGACACTTGATACAGCCTATTGGCATACAAAGATTGTGTAGCTCACCAGGGCGATATGCTGTTTGAGCCAAGCATCATCACAGCGACTCTCCCGCCGAATGCACACAATGCTACTGCCCAATGTTGGTTTCAGGAAGTGGAGAAAAAAGCGGCATTACTGAGAGCTTTTTGGCTTCAAATCTGTATACTGGTGGGAGGTGGGCATAATGAGCATTTGAGGCCTAAATAAGTCAAATATTAATTAATCATTTAACTGCTATAAACATTTGTTTATTTAAGTTTCTTTGCCCGAATAGTAAAGTTTAGTTGTTTTTGAACGACCTTCCACACTCAGTCTCCCTGCAAGGACAGTTCACTAAAGGTCGTCTCTAATCAGTAAATTGCAGGATGGAGGAGGAAGAAGAGGAGGTTTGATTGGGGGTCAAGACCTGCCAATGATGCTACTGAATTTTCAATGACTGATGTTTTAATCACAGCCGTCATATCATAGGAACGTGACTGCTGTAAGAATAAAACAATCATGAATTAATGTCAAGATAATATTTAGCAAAAACAAGCAGGAAACAGTCTAAAGATGATAATTCAACCTTTTGAAAATCATGTAAAAACCAAATCCACGGATGGTCTGTGATCCACAGCTAAAATAAAACACTGGATCAGAGTCATTGGTATTCAGGTGAGTCTCGGGCCATGCTATTCTGGTTTGTGAGGATCAGTCGCAGGTGCCTCCATCTCACAGAGTTACTCAGCCATTCAAAGGCAGTCTGTGAGGACATGTCAGACATGACAGGAGATGAGAAGCCAAAAGTGTAAGAAATATATTGAGCTGGGCTGTTTCTAACTGTTGTAACCGCTCCTGTAAAACCAAGCCAACACATGACACAACGCTGTAACTTAGCCTTAAGCACAAAGTCGTATCTTTGATGTAATTATTCATAAATGTATAATTTTAAAAGCCCCTTTAAGCATTTCTTAAGGATACTATGTTTTTACTAGTGCTATAAAGTTACCCGGTAAAAAGTCATAAGATTTATACACATTTTAAAACAATAATGCTGATATTACAGCACATGTATGTCACGCCCTCTACTTCTAGGGCCAGATAGGGGCAGCCTCTCTTTTCTCTTCTCCCCCCTCCCTCTTCTCTTTCTCCCTCTCTCTAAGCAGGTGTTGGTGTGATGCAGCTTCAGGGCGGACAGGTGCAGCCACTTACTAATCAGCGGATCGATCCGTGTGGCGGGGAGAGGAGCGCTCTCATTCATTCACCCGCTGCCATAAAAACCAGACGCTTCCCACAACCCGACGCTGGACCGTAACCTGAAAATCCCTTGCCCACTCCGCCTGCTCTTCCCGTCTGCGTACCCAGCTCTCCTGCTCTTCATCCCAGCTCCGTCCAGGACGCCGCCTCACGCCATCACCACCTGCCTCTCTCCCTCCAGTCGGAGTTCACGGACTGCCTGCTCACTCACTCTCTCGCTAGCTCTGGTAGTACCCGACCCTGTCTCGCGTTTTGCAGACAGCGCTTTTTGTTATTTGTTCTGACCCTGTCTCGCGTTTTGCAGACAGCGTTTTTTGTTATTTGTTCTGACCCTGTCTCGCGTTTTGCAGACAGCGTTTTTTGTTAATTGTTCTGATCCTGTCTCGCGTTTTTGCAGACAGCGCTTTTGTTAATTATTACTGTTCCAGTCTCGCGTTTTGCAGACAGCGCTTTTTGGTTAATTATTACTGTTCCAGTCTTGCGTTTTTACAGACAGCGTTTTTGTTAGTTATTACTGATCCTGTCTCGCGTTTTTCAGACAGCGCTTTTTGTTAATTGTTACTGCCCACCTTAGTTCCGTTTTCCTATTTCTGTTTGCATTTTTGGACCAAATAAATATCTGTTTAACTGAACTGCTCTGACTTGAGTCTCTTTGTCCGCATTTGAGCCTCGGTGCCTGAACCGTGACAGTACGGTCCAGCCAAGATGAGCTCAGCAGACAAAGAGACTGGCGCGGAGGCAGTCTCCCCCGCTACCACGTTTCAACAAGCTATTGCTAATCAGGAATGCGTGTTAGCTCAACATGATGAATTGTTGCGTTCCCTGGTCAGTAGTAATCATGTTATGCTTAACCAGATCTCTGAACTAACCACCCAGTTAAGAGGGTTGGCTGGTCAAATTGCTAAGACTGCTCCCCCAGGCTCAGCGTTAGCCGCTAATCCTGTCTTGGCTAGCGTTAGTGTTCCACCTCCCTCTCGTGAACCTGTAGTGCCTGTACCTGAACGTTACAGGGGGGAGTTAGGATCCTGCCAGGCCTTTTTAACTCAGGTTTCACTAGTTTTTGAGATGCAGCCTCTCTCCTATGCCTCCGATCGTTCAAAAATAGCTTACACCATCGGGTTATTGTCAGGACAGACGAGAGAGTGGGGCACGGCTGTTTGGGGACGCCAGGACAGTGCCTGTGAGTCCTACGCGGCGTTCGTGGCAGAGATGAGGAAGGTCTTTGACCACCCAGTAAGCGGTAACAACGCCAGCCACCGCCTCATGGCCATCTCCCAAGGGACAAGGAGTGTCGCAGAGTTTGCGGTGGAGTTCCGGACGCTGGCTGCAGAGAGCTCCTGGAACGACGGCGCGCTCCAGGGAGCCTTTTACAAAGGGCTAGGTGAGGCCCTAAAGGACGAGCTGGCAACTCGTGACGACTCTCCAGACCTAGACCACCTCATCGCATTAGCGATTAAGATTGACAACCGGCTCCGGGAAAGGAGGCGAGAACGCAGCGCCCGCTCTGTACTAGGACCCACCAGAACCCCAAGTGCCCCAGGCCCCAGAACTCAGCCGGACCCCCCGCCGGAGTCTCTCCCAGAGCCAATGCAGATCGGCCGGGCCCACCTCACTGAGTCGGAGAAGTTACAACGTCGGTCAGCAAACCTGTGCCTGTATTGTGGGCGTCCGGGTCACTACATTGCCTCCTGCCCCGCCCGTCCGCCAAAAGGTCCGGCTCGCCAGTGACGGGGGATCTGCTGGTGAGCCGTACTACTACTTCGCCCCCACAACGGCTCCAAGTGGCCATAACCCTGTGTTGGCAGCGTCAGCCTATCCCTCTTCTAGCCCTGGTGGATTCTGGGGCTGAAGAGAATTTCCTGGACTCTCGCCTGGCGTCCCAGCTCGGCATTCCCACAGAAACTCTTGACGCGCCCTTGGAGGCTCGTGCTCTGAATGGACTCCACCTGGCCCAAGTCCGCCATAAGACTGTTCCGGTCTCCCTGGTGGTGGGGGGCAACCACCATGAGACAATTTCCTTCCACCTCATCGACCAGTCTAGTCCACCCTTGGTTCTTGGGTTCCCTTGGCTCCAGGTCCATAATCCCCACATTGACTGGCAGCAGGGGGAGATCCGTTCCTGGAGCCGGGAGTGCTACCAACGTTGCCTGACATCTGCCCTGACTCCTGAAACTCGAGCCAGCCCCCGGGCCCTACCTTCCGAACCCCTCAACCTGGACCTTGTACCTTCTGTGTACCACGATCTGGCCATGGTTTTTAGCAAGGATCAAGCCCTGTCTCTGCCCCCACACAGACCCTACGACTGTGCTATAGACTTACTTCCCGGAGCTACACTACCCCGTTGCAGACTGTACAACCTGTCTAGACCTGAACAGGCCACCATGGAGTCCTACATCCGCGATTCTCTGGCGGCTGGCATCATCCGCCCCTCTTCATCCCCTGTCGGCGCTGGATTCTTTTTTGTCTCCAAGAAGGACAAATCCCTCCGTCCCTGCATAGACTTCCGGGGCCTCAATGACATTACTGTTAAGAATACTTACCCCCTTCCCCTAATCAATTCTGCCTTCACCCCGCTGCATGGAGCCTCTGTCTTCACCAAACTGGATCTTAGAAATGCCTACCACCTCATCCGAATCCGGGAGGGCGACGAGTGGAAGACCGCCTTCAATACTCCCCTGGGACACTTTGAATACCTGGTCATGCCCTTCGGCCTCACTAACGCCCCCGCAGTTTTCCAGAACCTCATCAACGACGTCTTGAGGGACATGCTCAATCGGTTCGTCTTCGTCTACCTGGATGACATCTTAATATACTCCCGAAACCTTGAAGAACAGGTCTGCCATGTCCGCCAGGTCCTCGAACGTCTCCTCCAGAACCGCCTCTTCGTCAAGGCAGAGAAATGCGAGTTCCACGCATCCACTGTGGCTTTCCTGGGATTCATCATCTCCTCCGGGGAGGTCAAGATGGACCCATTAAAGGTGGAGGCAGTGACTGAGTGGCCCCGTCCCGAAGACCGGAGACAGCTTCAGCGCTTCCTTGGTTTTGCAAACTTCTACCGCCGTTTCATCCGAAATTACAGCTCTGTTGCAGCCCCCCTGACCACCCTCACTTCCACCACCAAGATCTTTTGTTGGACCCCTGAAGCAAACAAGGCCTTCTCTGAGCTGAAGCAACGCTTTGTTTCGGCGCCTATCCTGATCCAGCCAGATCCCGAGAGACAGTTCATCCTGGAGGTGGATGCCTCGGACACCGGGGTAGGGGCAGTCCTGTCCCAGCGGGCTGCGACAGACCAAAAACTACACCCCTGTGCCTTCTTCTCACGGCGTCTTACCCCCGCAGAGAGGAACTATGATGTCGGAGATCGCGAGCTGTTGGCCGTCAAGCTCGCTCTGGAGGAATGGCGGCATCTGTTGGAGGGTGCCCTGCAGCCTTTCATCGTGTGGACAGACCACAAGAACCTGGAATACATCAGGTCGGCCAGGAGGATGAATTCCCGCCAGGCCCGCTGGTCCCTCTTCTTCAGCCGCTTCAACTTCTCCATCACTTATCGCCCCGGGTCCAGGAACACCAAGCCTGATGCCCTGTCCCGTCAGTTCTCCGGAGAGAACGCCCTGCCAGACCCAGAACCCATCTTGCCCCAGACTCGCATTGTCGCCTCCCTCACTTGGGAGGTTGAGGCCCAAGTACTCCGGGCCCTAGAACAGCAACCTGACCCCGGAGGCGGTCCCCCAAACCGCCTGTTTGTCCCAGAAGCCGTCCGCCCGCAGGTCCTCATGTGGGGGCATACCTCTAAGTTCGCCTGTCATCCCGGATCTGCCCGCACCTTAGAGGTCCTCCGGCAACGGTTCTGGTGGCCCACCATGGAGGCAGACACCCGTGAGTTCACCCTGGCCTGCTCCGTCTGTGCCCGCAACAAAACGTCCAATCAACCCAGCTCCGGATTCCTGCGGCCGCTTCCCATTCCCAGGAGACCCTGGTCCCACATTGCAGTGGATTTTGTCACAGGCCTCCCTCCTTCCCAGGGCAACACCGCCATATTAACCATTGTCGACCGGTTCTCCAAATCTGCCCATTTCCTTCCCCTGCCCAAGTTACCCACAGCCATTAAGACTGCAGATCTTCTGGTCTCTCAGGTTTTCAGGATTCACGGCATCCCTTCCGACATAGTCTCCGACCGTGGTCCCCAGTTCACGTCAGAGGTGTGGAGGGCGTTTTGTAAGGCTCTGGGGGCCACGGTCAGTCTCTCTTCTGGTTTCCACCCACAATCAAACGGCCAGACGGAACGGGCCAATCAGTCTCTAGAGACTTTCCTACGCTGTGTGGCCTCAGAACACCCTACGACCTGGAGCAATCAACTCCCCTGGGTGGAGTACGCTTACAACTCCCTGTCTAACTCTTCCTCTGGACTGTCCCCCTTCCAGTGCGTCCTGGGATACCAGCCCCCCTGTTTCCAGCTTCTGAAGAGGAGATTGTCATACCCTCGGTGCAAAGCTTCGTCAGGAGGTGCAAACGAACTTGGAGGAAGGTTCGGGTCGCCCTCCGCCGGGCCTCCTTGAGAATGGAGCAACAGGCCAACCGTCGCCGTTCCCCTGCTCCTGCCTACGCCCCGGGCCAGAAGGTTTGGCTCAGGGCCAAGGATCTCCCACTCCGGGTGGAGTCAAAGAAGTTGGCCCCACGCTTTGTCGGTCCGTTCGAGGTGGAGAGGGTCATTAACCCCGCTGCCGTCCGGCTTAAGCTGCCCCGGTCCATGAAGATTCATCCCACGTTCCATGTTTCGCAGCTGAAGCCGGTACGGGAGAGTCCTTTGGCCCCACCCGTCCATCCCCCTCCTCCGCCCAGGATAGTGGACGATGGGCCAGTCTACACTGTCAGTCGCTTGCTGGATGTCCGTCGGCGGGGTAGAGGGGTCCAGTTCTTGGTCGACTGGGAGGGATATGGGCCAGAGGAGCGCAGCTGGGTTCCCCGTCGCCAGATCCTGGACCACACGTTGGTCAGCGACCTCTACCGCCGCCACCCAGAGAAGCGCCTTCGTGCACCTGGAGGTGCACGTAGGGGGGTACTGTCACGCCCTCTACTTCTAGGGCCAGATAGGGGCAGCCTCTCTTTTCTCTTCTCCCCCTCCCTCTTCTCTTTCTCCCTCTCTCTAAGCAGGTGTTGGTGTGATGCAGCTTCAGGGCGGACAGGTGCAGCCACTTACTAATCAGCGGATCGATCCGTGTGGCGGGGAGAGGAGCGCTCTCATTCATTCACCCGCTGCCATAAAAACCAGACGCTTCCCACAACCCGACGCTGGACCGTAACCTGAAAATCCCTTGCCCACTCCGCCTGCTCTTCCCGTCTGCGTACCCAGCTCTCCTGCTCTTCATCCCAGCTCCGTCCAGGACGCCGCCTCACGCCATCACCACCTGCCTCTCTCCCTCCAGTCGGAGTTCACGGACTGCCTGCTCACTCACTCTCTCGCTAGCTCTGGTAGTACCCGACCCTGTCTCGCGTTTTGCAGACAGCGCTTTTTGTTATTTGTTCTGACCCTGTCTCGCGTTTTGCAGACAGCGTTTTTTGTTATTTGTTCTGACCCTGTCTCGCGTTTTGCAGACAGCGTTTTTTGTTAATTGTTCTGATCCTGTCTCGCGTTTTTGCAGACAGCGCTTTTGTTAATTATTACTGTTCCAGTCTCGCGTTTTGCAGACAGCGCTTTTTGGTTAATTATTACTGTTCCAGTCTTGCGTTTTTACAGACAGCGTTTTTGTTAGTTATTACTGATCCTGTCTCGCGTTTTTCAGACAGCGCTTTTTGTTAATTGTTACTGCCCACCTTAGTTCCGTTTTCCTATTTCTGTTTGCATTTTTGGACCAAATAAATATCTGTTTAACTGAACTGCTCTGACTTGAGTCTCTTTGTCCGCATTTGAGCCTCGGTGCCTGAACCGTGACAATGTATACCAGTTTAAACCGCCCTGTGCAGCGAGAGAGTGCTGATATTGTTTCTGTGAGAGCTCACTGCTAGTTCTGGGCAAAAAGAAAAACGCCACACAAAAGAGTTTTAATAGATATCCGGCTGGGAGAAAGTTGACAAGCTGTCAAAACACCCCAGTTGTTTTTGGAAATTGTGTTAAAATCTCAGTGTAAGTATAATGTGTTTTTTATAAAGCGTTATGCATACGCTGAGATCAGAAAGCTGGACTCATCCAGTGTCAAATTACCTTCTTATTTATTTCTCTTCTGTCTTTATTGTGGCTGCGTTTGATGTCTCCTTTATTGCACTTCTCTGAAATCTGCTCTAATCATTGAGACTGTCCTTATGCTTTGTTTTCTCTGCACTCAGGGTCTGTTGAGTCACAATAATTACTCCGTGAAAGCATAGACACTGGCTGCTGTCCTCATATGATACATAGAAGGCTTGTGTTTGAATAATGTATAAGCGGCTTGATGTTGTGTGTCTCAGTGTGCAGACGTGTGTGCATGCCTACATTGATACTTAGGCTGCTGTTCTCATTTGTTCAACAGCCTGAACTCAAACAAAGATAGCAGACAATTATAAGTCCTGATGTGACTCTGATTGTAAGACTCTTTTCACTGTTTTCTCCATGAAAGTGTAAGTTTAACATCACTTATTCTAACTTGATCTACCACTGATATAACTGATAACAGAAGTGGTGGTAGCTGTGACCTACAGCTGTAGTTAGGTGGCCAAACTTTGGGTCCAGATTGGGTCTAATGCACATGTGCCTCCCAATGGGCGACATAGAGTACATTGACCCCCATTTAATCTACCATAATTAGAATACTGCATGTTTTTAATGAATGAAAAAATACCTGCAACCCAACTGCTACTAAGACCATTTCAGTCAGGACCACTTACATAAGAAATAATTCGTTCTTAGAGCTCCCTGTCCATCCACATGTGTAAATAGCACGTTAAAGCCTTGGTATACATGAAAAAGTTAAAGCAGGGAGAGCAGCAGCAAAGACCGCAGACATATTAAATGACAATCAGACAGCATAAAGAGGAGGAGGGTGATATTCGCCATCTGGATGCATACTCGTACTGTTTAGATAAGGTTAATTATAAATAGTATTGTTATTTTTATTTAGGTTCAGGCCTGCTGTAAATGTTATCTTTATATTTTTTATGTAAATAGTATTGTTGATTTTATTGAGATTCCTTCATGTCTTTATTTAAATTCTACGTATTTCTTTTATATGTCTTCGTATGTTCCTATGGCTGATACTGGGTCCTCAGTTCTCTACTTTGACACTGGCTGAGATTTCAGCTGATATGGGCTGGTGTTAAGATCAGCTGATGTTATGTGGGTGGAGCTTAATGTTGCGGCCTGCCTGAACTATCACTACCAACTTGCATCTTGGTCTTTTATTTTACAGATGACCAACAACATTACTTAAGAAGGGCACTTTTTTATGTGCCTTTCTCCTTTTTCTTTTTAGAGACCAAAGAAACGTGATTTAAGTTTTGTGGAGCGCTCAGATCGAGGCTTTCTTGCGCCTCTCCATCACCTCTAGTATCTTTTTAGTGTGGTTAACGGTGTCATAAACCACTATTGATTAGCACCGGTATGGGCCCTGAAAAACCAATATTGGTCAACCCATTGAACATATAGCACTGCTTTTAAATGCATTCACAATAAAATCTTTTAGAGTGGAAATCATTTCTTCAGGGATGCTGCCAAGAGCTGAAGTCATTCTTGTGTTGATTTTGAGTTGCATAAAATTACAGCGCTTCAACGCCTCCTCCATTTTTACAAATAATTCACGCTCCTCTCACTATCACACACCCATTAGGGCCTGAAATCACAGCAGTGAACCCACAGGTGATAGCACATCTTTTCCCCACCATTGGAAACCATTTTGTCAGGCAGCCAGCAGTGTGCCCTACAGCGGTGAGCAGCACAGATGGTTGTTCTAACAGCAGGTGTGAGGACTTCAAACAAAGCAGGGCGAGGTCAGAGAGGGTGTAGATGTTTAAAACATCAGTTCCTGGCGGCAGGGTACAAGGTCATTTTGGATGGACTCATCGCTGATTCTCTTTGCCTGTTAGTTTCGAGGAGAACCCTTATCATGTCTTATACATACGAGTCCACTGAAATTGAACTAGAAACACTTTATGATTCTGATAGAACTTTTTCTATCTGAGAAAAAATATCAACACCTTCACAGGAGAAAACAAAAGTTGTTTAGAGAGGAAGGCGGCTTTTATTGCTGTCAAAATATTTGTGAATAACTTCCTTCAGAAATCCAAAGTAGAGACGATCCTGTTGAATTTGATCTTGTTGCAGATTCAGTTAGCAGATTAGCAAAAAAAGAAAAAAAAACGGGGGCGAAACATTATGCTACCAAATGTATTATTATGGGTGGGGGGAACAACCTTTGGCTAAACATATGAGCACTGTTCATCAAATCAAGTCAATATCAAGTATCTTTACCTACCTTGGTGTGGATTTAACTCCTTTAACCCCAGTTGCTGCTGCTGCTGTTGGGAACCGGTTCCAACTAGTTTGACCATGTTGTAAGAAACTGTTATTGTCATTTGTCATTTACAGCATAATATTGTTGTGTTTACAACATCAGCTCTCCTGGTTAATTGGTACATTGTAAGTACTTACTGTAAAATCCACTCCCTTTGTGAGACCGGCAGCCTTCCGGGAGCAAATAACGGATAAGTGGTTGTTATTGTTTCTTTTACACTTTTCGTTTGATGTGAGTGGGTGTCGACATAACCAAACGAGGGTAATCTTGTTGTAGTTGATGAAGCTTATTCTGCAGGTACAGTTGCCAGATCACAGCCACTTTAGCTAAAAGAGAGTGACAGAGGCCAATCCTGTCTCCCCTCACAGGGCCTGGGGATCCACTTCGAGGCATAGATGTATATTTCTGGGATCTGGATACAATCCACCACATGCCCTACATCTGTGTTGGTATAACAAACACATTGAAGGGGTTGACTAGTCTGATCAACCGGTACAGACTGTGTTGTTCCACATCCTGGATATCGCAGCTACACATGCCCAGATCCTTCACAAGGAACCATGTGAAAGCAAACAGCCATGAGTCACAGAGGCATCCTGCAGGAGCTGACAGCTCACCTATGTGAAGTCAAGGGTCGTGCTCGAATGGATGCGGCAATATTTGCTATGCATCGGTACATAGAATCGATACAGCTGCGATAGCTGTGATGCCATATTGAAAACGATGTCATCCAGGGCTGATTACGGGCATCTGCTGGTTGACTGTGAGTTAGCGTTATGCAGGCGAAAAGAAAAACATTCAAAATTTCAGACCCTGTTTGTTATTATCCATCTGTAAAAGGCAATAACCGCCGATGATTTGTGAGCGATCTTTAATCTTTCTGTAAATGTTGCGAGGAACACACACACACACACACTTGGTAAAATACACATGCTAGCGCCCCATCAGAGTTACAGGCACCACAAATATTCAGGTGTTATTTCACATGCTTTACAGCACCATGAAATTGGCTCATACCTCTCTTTGTCATTCATTTGCTAAGCTCCAAATAAACCACTTGTGCAGGTGGTACACGGTACATTTGAGAATGTGTTTATAGAGGTGGGAAGGTGTAATTTTGGTGCTCAGTCACTCATTATTAATCACCAAGCTGGAGGTACTGTCGCCTGGAACTAAAACCTGTGCTCTGTGCTGGTGAGCGGCCGCTCTGCTGATGCACCAGATGTGTGCCCTGTACCCACGTCGAGGAGGCATCCTGAGTATGCCTGCTGTACTCTCAAAATTGGAATCTAAGGAATACATTAGCTGTCTGATGTGCAGGAGTGCTCAGGTCTTGTAGTGGGTGCTGTGCAGGGAGGCAGCAAAGGTAAGAAAAGTTTCCTCTGCCTCCAGACCATTGTTGTTGTGCTTGGAGCAGCAAGGCCACTAACAGATGTATGCTTCAATGGTCAGGTAAGAGGCCTAACTGTGGCTCTCCAAGGCTGTTTCAAAGCTGTGTAGTTCCAGGGTGTGTGAAATGTGTGATACTGGGGAAAAAAGTACATTGAGAAGAGGAGGAAAGCACAGGAAACATATGGTATTTTTTATGCAAGTAACATTTTTTTTGTTTTGTTTTAATGATTTCCCTAACTGGATATTTCCACCACATCCAGAATGGCCAAAGTATCGTGATAATATTGTATCTTGGCCAAGGTATCATGATAATACCATATTGTGGCCCAAGTATTGTGATTGTACCATATTGTTGCCCAAGTATCGTGATAATATCATATGGTGCCCCAATTATTGTGATAATATCATATCATATCAGATCATATCATATCATATCGTGGCCCAAGTATTGTGATTATACCATATTGTGGCCCAAATATGGTGATAATATCATATCGTGCCCCAAGTATTGTGATAATATCTTATCATGGTCCAAGTATTGTGATAACAACACATCATGGCCCAAGTATCGTGATAATATTGTATCCGGGCCAAGGTATCATGATAATATCATATTGTGGCCCAAGTATTGTGATTATACCTTATTGTGGCCCAAATATCGTGATAATATCATATCGTGCCCCAAGTATTGTGATAATATTATATCATATCATATCGTGGCTCAAGTATTGTGATAATATCGTATCATGGTCCAAGTATTGTGATAATATTGTATCGTGGCCAAAGTATCATGATAATATCATATTGTGGCCCAAGTATTGCGATAATATCGTATCGTGGGGCCACTGGTGATTTCCACCCCTAATATTTAGCAGAGGAAAACTGATGTTATGATAGGTTTGTTACTCCAGTTGAGGATGGTGGTTGAATCTTTACTGCTAAAATTAAACTGAAATACCAAAGGATCTATCATTTGAAAATGTGTTTTGTTTTTGCTCCCATAAAAGTATCCTTTCTTTCTTTCATATGAGTAGTTTTATGAGCAGGAATCAAATC